CTTTTCCAGTGTCACACAATAAGAACTTATCTGAGGCAGGATTCAAACCCAGGTCTTTGTAATTCCAAATTTGATTCCCTCCCCACTACACCACGTTGCTAAATTATCTTATGCCTTATATGCATTATTCTCCAGGTACTGCTTAGTTGACTGCATCATTTTTTGCTCAACCATTTCTCAACTGATGGCCATGTGTTTTTTTCCAGTTGTTTTTTTTTTTAGGTACCACAAAAAGAAGACTATGAACATCTCTGTATTTAAGGGACCGTTTCCCCCTCCCTCCCTTTTTTTTTGGCCTCTGTTTTATTTGAGATATATTGCCAATACAAAGAGCACTGACAGCTTAAAAACTTTTCTTTGCATAAATTCCAAATCAATAGAGACTTTCTAACAAATACCCCAATAATCCCATTTCCAAAGTTCAGTTCTTGAGACAGAAAACATTATGGATTATTAACACAAAGAAAAGGTTTGTCTTTTAACTTTGGCAGTATGGTATTAACTTTAATGCTCTGTGCCTTTCCATGCTGATTTCATTCTCATTGTTGTTATCATTGTGTAATGTTTCCTTTTTTCTGTATTTTCTGTATTTTGTCTTTTCATAATCTTCTTTTGTTTATTTGAATTCTTAACATTCATAATTCCTTACAATGCAATAATATTGCATTGCATTCATATTCCATAATTTGTTTACCATTCCCCAGACAAACATATTTTGTTTCCAACTCTTTGTTGTCACAAATGACGCTACTATGGACACTTTCATACACAGGGTTTTTTTTTTTTCCCTTCTTGCTCTCAGTAATCTCCTCAGGGTATATAGTCTTAGTAATGAAATCTCTGGGTCAGGGGGTATGAACAATTTACTAACTTTCCTTGCATAATTTTGAATTGTTCTCTAGAACTTTTGAGTCAATTCACAGCTCCACCAGCAGGTAATTAGCATTGAAACTTCCAACAATGAATTTTCCAATCTTTAGCATCTTACTTAGCTTTAAGGTTTTCAAGTGAGTGGTATCTAAGATGTTTTAATTTGAATTTTTCTGATTTTGTATTTCCAGGTGATTTTTGATAGTTTGAATTCTTTCTTTGATAATTAATTGTTCATGTCCTTTGGGGAATCAATCTTAAGCATATATTCGTGTCATGTCTATATAGATTTTTGTACATCAGACTTTTAGCAGAGTTATTTAATGGAAAATTTTTCCTCAGTAGAAATCTTAAAGAACAGTTCATATGTAATTGTCCTTGCCATTCACCCTGCTGCTAACCCTAAAGACCATTGGGGCTTTCCATATGCCCTACAACTGAACCTTCATATATATGTATTGTGATCCCTACTTAGAAATGTGAGCACCTTGAGAACAGGAATGATCTTGATTTTCTCTCTATATCCCCAGTGCTTAGTATAGTGCTTGGTATATAGTAAATACTTAATAATTAACATTTAATACTTGATAAATGCTTTTCATTCATTCATTCATTCATTCATAGAAACATTGGAGGGGATTGATTTGTATAGTCTGAATTTATCACTCTCCTTCATTGTAACAAGAAATTGGGTTAAATGCCTTTCAAATCTCTTCCAACTCAATCAAAATAAAAAGTGGTTCTTTTATTACTCCCATTGTATTGTTTTTTCCCTACATCAAATCTGAAGAAAGGTGCTTCAGATATAAGAATGTTAAAGTCAAACCTTTCTGTGACTGAGCATGTCAGAAACAAGGTCATTTCCCACTATATTTTATTTTGTAAATTTTCATTGAATGGCGAAAAACATGGGTATCTGAGCAGGGCAACTCAGGAGTCTCCTTCAGTCTCAACTAAATCTCTTATGTGGATGTTTCCTGTACTGTGATTTCCAAAATAGTTGTTCTTGTAACTTGAAACAATGACACATGTGAAATCAACATATTGTCACACCAGTCTGTCACATGACTAATAAGTGTTAAGGCCAGGACTAGAACCTGGGTCTTCTGACTTCTAACTATATTCAGAAGTATAGGCCATTATTCCGTGTTATCTCCCTGAGGAGGATGGGAAAGGGAAAGCCTTTTTTGAATCCGTACTAATCAAAGCAGCACCTTCTACTCAGCAAAAGCACATCTGGTGAGGGAGGTGGGGGGAGAGAGGGAAGGGAAGGAGGGAGAAATGATAAAGCTCAGACAAGAGATGTTTTAAAAGCATCAACATCTTAAACCATTAAAAATCCTTGTAGGACTGAGTATCATTTAGATCATAGAAGATTTGTCAGATCATTTCCTCAATAAACTTTTTGTGGGGGGTTGGGAGGGGAAGAACAGTGGTTTCCTTCTAGACTGATCATTCATTCTCTTAGATCTTATCAAATGAAGAGGAAGGAACTGCAGAACTTATGGAAATATTCCTTGGAGCAAGATAACTTCTGTACTCTTGACAAATAGGTCTTCTTAGTTGGCCTGAATTTACCAAAGGATGATCATTTTTAAAGATGGGAGGGAGTTAGGGCCATATACCCCTTTCCTTTATTCCTTAGAGGTTTTACAGCATTAAGGTGACTGGGGTAACTCAATAAGGAGAAAGTAGGATTCTAAAGGAGCCTGAACCTTAATTTAAAAGGTGGTTGGCCAGGAAAACTTTCAACTCCAATAAAAGGACTTTACTGACGGCAGAATTCTGCAGGCGCTTTAACTATCTTTTCACAAGTGTGGGGGCTGGGGCGGTAATAGGAAAGTGAAGTTTCCCACCTCCAGTAGTTTATCCTTTCAGGGTTGTTGTTCTCCCTTGCTAAAGTCCTGGCGGGGCGGGATCCAGTGCATAGCAACGTTGGAGCTAACACACACACACACACACACACACACACACACACACACACACATCTCTGTCTTTTCATCAGATGAACAATTCTTTCTCCTCCCTCCTCCCTGCCCCCACACATCAACCCAAATTTAGGAAATACTCGCGTTGAAACTGGCAAGAGGGAGATTAGTTGCGTCTTCTGCAACTTTCTATAGCATCGCCCCCCCCCCCCCCCCCCGCCCCATACTTTCGACTCCTCTCTGCGATTCTTCCATTGTCAGACACTGGAGCGCGGGAGGGAGGGGCGTTTATTGTCTGGGATGCGCGGGGAGGACAACGCAACTCTGAGCGCTCTCAGGCACTCCAGTGTAAGTTAAGTAGTAAAGTTGCAAAGATTCATGAGCACGTGAAAATTAGATAGCCGGGGAGAGGGGGAACCGAGCTCTTCCCAGCTTCTTTGTTCTGCTTTCGGGGAGAGACCTTTGGAAAGAGTCACTGAACCAGGCAGTGGGACAGAGTGGTCTGGAGTGAAGACGTCTAGAAAGCAACAATTAACATTCACTCCCCTTTCCCCTTTCTTGCCTTTCCACCCCCTCCCCACTTTCCTTACGCCGTCCCATCTCAAACATCCATTCCACCCCCACAAGAAAACTAAACCAAACCAAGCTGTCCACAGACCCTCGCAAAGCACGCACTCACACAAATCAGACCGCACACAAAAGATCCAGGAACTCAGAGGGAAGGGGCGGGGTGAAGGTGTGTGCATGACACCTCCTTGAAGGTGAGTGGCAATTTGCTTTGGAGAATTCTTTCCTCCTATTACGAAATTATTTCTCCACCCTCACCCCGTTCCTACCGCACCACATCCCTGCATCCCACTCTACTGCATTGCCTTTTCAAAAATCGGGAGAGCAAAGTTAGCCCTGTACTCACTCTTACTCAGGGAGGTAGCCTAGTTGCGTTGGGGTGAGAAATTAACGGACAGCGGTAGGACTGGGGCAGGGGTCCTCCATCTACACTGTACGGAGTAAAGATTGAGCCCAAGAGTGGGAGAGGACAGGGTGGGAAAAGCTGAGGGAAGGTCAGGCAAACGTCCAGTTCATGGATGCCTAGTTTGCCCTTGGGCAAGTGGGAGCTAGTGGGGATGATGTTTGAGGATGTACAGGGGTGGGAAGGGAGGCTGGGGGTGGACGCTTAAGACTTGTCCCTTTGTGCCCAGAACAACCCTGTTAGCACCTCAGCATTGAAGGACTAGGGCTGGGGGGTATGGGTCCAGCGAGCAGGAGTTGAGAACTTCGTGTACTTTAAAAGAGAGTCCTCTCATTACTGGCTGAAGTTTGAGGGGGAATAATGGAAAAGGGTGAGGGGCGCTGGGCTGGAAGAGTAGGTGGGATTTTGCGAACCGCGAAGCCTGTCGGATCTCAGCGGCTACTTGAGCAACAGGTATCCAGAAAGGGATGGAGAGTGGGGTGGAAGGGGTCCCTGATGTAGCTGCGGGGCAACTGCGGTACGGGCTTTGTTCTGAAGATCGCTAGGTCTTTCCAAAGTAAAGGGGACTGGGAAGGGGGAGGCGGGAGCCATCCAACTTTTCAAACCCACTTCTTGCTCCTTTTACATTTTCTTTAGGGAGAGCAGGACAGGGGGCGTGTTTGGGGTGTGCGTGTGTGTGTGAGATGAGGGGGCGAGTCTAAAAGTTGGGAGAATATGCTTCCATTCTCCCCCTTATTGCTTATGCAGTTTTATCTTTCTGTGTTTGGTTTTTCTCCCACTCAGCATTTGGTCCCCTGGGATGATAAAAAACTGGTCGAAATCCGATACCAGGAGGGATTGTTCTCATTGACTGTCGGGGGGAATCCAGACAAAGAGGTGCATCTACCGGAAATAATGATTTCAGAGTCTCCCCCCCTTAATTTTATTGGGGACGGGAGGGAAAGGGAGGGAAGGGCGAGAGGCTTGGCGAGAGGGCTGGGGAGGGAGGGGAGAGGCACAATGTTCACTTAGAGGGAAGTTCTGAAGAAGAGGTCATAGAAAACGCGGGTTGCGGGGAAAGTTGGAGTGATAATAGACTGAAGAAAATAGGGAAGGACAGAGGCAGACCTGAGTTGCTTCTTTGGCTACACTCAGGGGCTGGATGATGTGGGGAAGAGGGAGGGTGGCGGGGAGGAGAGTGAGGGAGGGAAAGAGGAAGAAGGGGGTGAGAGGGAGAAACCTGCTGCCGCTCGCCGGCTCTTTGTCTGCTCGGGGACTTGGAACAAAAGGGGAAACTCTGATGAACTCTCTCCATCCTCCTCCTCTCTGACGCCTGGTTATCTTTCCTCTCACAACTTTGCTGGAGAGACTCTCTCCAGCGCTAGGCACCCAACAAGTTCGGGGGCTTTAGGAACTGGAGTTAGAGAACCATCTCTTTTAGAATGGATAAAAGAGGGGGGAAAAGAAGGTGAGTTTGTTTCCTTGTTTATCTCTTTTTCTTTTCCTTTATCTGGTCAGTCTCCCCCTACCTAACCCCTCCCCGCCCTGCCCTGCTGGGAACTGAGAAGTCATAAGTGGCAAAGTTTTGTTGGTAAGTTGTATCTTCTCTCCCCAACTCTCTTCCCTTTTGTTCCTTCCACAAACACGCAAGATTTAGGTTCTTTGTTTTGTTTTTAATAAGCAAAAACCAGTCCAACTTTGCTCTTCATGCATTGCTTTGAGGATTATCTGAAATGTGTCCTGTCCCGTTGCTACCTCCATTCTTCTATGCCCCCTACCCCTGGGTATAACAGACTTAAATATCCCGAATTTGGGAAAGTTTATTTTTGTTGGGACACGGCGGGGCTATGGGGAGGTCACGTAGCTCGAGACAGAGATAAGGTTGGGGCGAGGAGCGTTTAATCTTGGCATTCTATAACTGCTGTCTGCGGAGTGCTTTGCGAACTCAAAGTACAATGCAAACAAGGGCCAACAATAGGATTCAAGAGGGAAGAAGAGGGTCCGGTGCATGTGGTCCTTCTGGGCTTGGGATGTTGCCGGGAAGGGGGGGGGGGGGGGGGACTGCAGTGAATGGATGGAGAGTTCCGAAAGTTTGGGGTGGGGAGTGGCTGCCCCAGGTATTGCGCAGCGAGAAGGAAAGGGATGAAGGGTGGCAGAGTGGACCAAAGGCTTTTTCAAGGCGGCCTTCCCATCCCTTCCAGTTGCCTGACTCAACCAGAATAATCGATGTAATTGTTGTCGCCCATCCGCACCCCTTCCCCTTTACTCCAGTCCCTACCTCCTCCCCCCCACAGCAGCCCAACGCCCAAACTTTCAAAGCATCTGTTTAACTTGAATGTACAGAAAAGGGATGGAAGCTCCAGAGGCTCCCACTAGCGCATTCGCCCCGCCTTCGCACCTTAACCTTTTGTTACTGCCTGCCACGCCCGAGAGAAAGGGATGGCTAGTAATGAATGCCTCTCCTGGCTCGCAAGGCGGTTCCCACCCGGAGGCTTTCAGCCTGGTATTCTCTGGGCAAGAAATACGTCTTAACTTTATTTCTAAGTATCTCAACTTCGATTTTTTCCTGTGTATATTCCTGACTAAATGGGAAAAATAATTAGCACCTCAAGAAAACCCCAAATCTTTCTTTCTTTTTTTTTAAATCTCCTTTCCCCACTCTATTTCACTTTTTTTGGTTGTTTTGGAAACTTTGTGATTCTGCTTTGTCATTGAGTGAATAGGTTTTCTTAGTAGTGCCCCTGGCAAAGGCATCCTACAGGCAGAAGTGTGAATCTGGAGAAGGGTCTTGAAGGAATGCCTTGGGCTTTAGCCATTCTGGTTTGTATTTGTTTTTATTTTAGTGGCTAATCAGAAGCAACCAGGGTGTATTAGGATCAACCAAATTAGAAGGTGATGATTAATCACAATTTTATTCAGCTTACTGTCTACCTCTTCTCCTTCTGTATCAGTAGCAGAGGATTTTTCCGAAGCAGTTACTTCCAGGGAACTTCCTTTTCAGTTTGACACAAAATCAAGCATCAAAGTGAACTTGTTGCTAATAACTGGGAAAACTCCCTTTGTTTAGTGCTGGTGTCCATCTAACTGTAGAAAGTCATAAACTGAGTTATTATTTAAAACACTGGCTTTAGAATGGTTCTTGTTCTTTAAGTTTGGGAGAAAAATAGTGATGTTGAAAGTACTTTAGATGATTGAATATGTAGCTTATACATTGGAAGTTAACTATACCTCATTTGTATAGGTGCCAGAATGATGATGGGCAACATCTAGGAAGCAAGACAATGGCTAGAATACCTTTCTAGCAAGGTACCTTCTCCAGGCTGCATTGTTTTTGTTGGACATTTCTGACAATGGATATAGCCAGGCCAAACAATTACGGAGTGAAAGACGCTAACCTTCGCTTGGGATTATCGTTTAAGAATTGAGTTTTGGATATGACATGACTATTATGAAGGATACTGTTACTGTTGGAAATACAACTTCTTGATCACTGGGAATTCTCTGCCTTATGGAAGAAGGTATGTTTCTTTTGGGAACTTCATCAGTGGTTCTTACTGTTGGTAATATCTGTGTCATTGCCAAAAAAATCGATGCGTTGTTTCAAGCTGTTGACTGATCCATATGTTTTTCTGTTTTGGGTTAGTTGGAAGTGCTCCTTTTCTTTTGTGTATGTTGAGATCTGAGTATTTCAGATGAAATTACTCTAATCTTACTATATTTAGTTTTTACCTTTGTTTTATCTACTACCAGCATGTGATTTGTAAGTAAAAGGTAGATATTCCAAAGTTAGTTTAATTTCAATCTCTAAGAAAAGTTATGTTTCCTGGATCACAAGAAAAGTTATACGTAGCAGGAAAGAAGTGCTTTGTTGTCCTTATCATCTTTGTGGTCTACAGAGTCAACTGGGCAGATGCCCCATTTTATCCATTACTAATTTTAAAAATGCTATATTTACATTTGCATATTAGCAAAAGTTCTAGATTTGCCTTGTTTCTCTACTGTGATATCTTAAAAAAAACTTTCTTTCCATTCAGCAAGCAAAATCCAGAATTGATCTAAAGTATTGTGCCAAAAAAGAATTCCTAAGAATCTGTCTAAAAATAAGCTCTATTGCCAAAATGAGTTATTATTCTAATAAAGAAACAGCCTAAATGATATTTTTATCTTAGTTAACGATATATACCTGGCAGAGACCCTAGAGACAGAAAATAATGAAGAAACTTAATGTTGACTACAGAGAAAAAGCAACTCAATTCTGGATAGATAACATAAGTAATATGAAAATAGTTTATTTTCCTAGATTATATGTTTACCATGGTTAGCTGTGGGATTCTACTGCGGAAAACCAATAGTTTTCCATTATTTAAAATGGGCATGTAGAAGTGACTCAAGTTCCAGGTGATTTTGAATTTTGAATTTGAAATAAATGGTAATCATTGGTACTTGGAAAGTTTTGAGGTGGTTACCTTAGTTCATAAAGCTTATGATAAATTAGGAATAGTTCCTTTTGGTTGTTTAGGAAGAAGAAAAAGGAAGAATAAAAGGATTGTTACCTACTGCTAACCAGTTGTATGACTTTAGACAGGTCACATTGCCGTTTTGGCCTCATTTTCCTTATCTGTAAAAATGAGAGGGTTAGCTAATCTCTGTGGTGCTCTTCGAGTCGGAGATTAAGATAGATATAGTTTTATGAAATTTTAAAAATTTGATTGTCACTTGAGTTACTGATTTGGAAAACTCCATGAGCCAAATAAACTTCTTCATATGTATGTTTGGATCAGGATATGTTGGCTCTGGGGACGTGCTTTAATTTTTCTGAAAAACAAATGATACCTTTGTCAAAGTATGCTATGTGAGAATTGATATTTACTTTATGATCTCAGAACAAAGTTTATCTAATTGGTATTTAAATTCTGGGAACAATATTCCACACTACAAAATATTTTCATCACCCCCATAATGCAAAGCAGAAAACTGTTGATTTTGTTTCCAAAGCAGAAGCTCTAATAAGCACCCATTTTCCCAGTGAGGTGGAGACTTTGAAAGTTTTACCTTAAAAAGTTGAACGCTTAACAAATTTCAAAGGTAGAGTGGCCAGAGAATTCACTGAAAGATTCTAACTTGTGGTTTAGAAGGATGATAACAAAGTATTTTCTTTAACATATATTCACTTTTGTGTCCATATTTATGATACTTGCTACTTACATCTGTACAAAAGAATGAATTGTGAGCTTGCTATTTGTTTTTGGAAATAACTAAAACTGATCCTCCAGGATCAGTTCAAGCAGATGTTTGATTTCCCTTTTTCATTTATTATAAAAAAACTTTATTTGTACTTCTTTTTTACATTGCAATCACTTTCTAATATACTACCCTTTCATTAAGTCCTTTCTTGTAATAAGTAAAGTTGAGTAGAATTAACTAACAGAAAAACTGTGCCTTATAGTATATACAACTTTTGGTAACCATAGTCCTCCACTTCTCTACTGAGAGGAGGGAAGTGTATGTCATCCAGATGCTTCATTTTCAGTGGTGGTGATGGATTCTTAGGGGGCCTTTTAGTATTATATTTAATTTTGAACCCCAATACAATACAAAGTAATGATGGTTTAAGAGTGATTTGTGAAAGATGAAGTCAAGAGGCTCACGCATGTTTTTAAATATTTTTACTCAAAAGTATTTTCCTCCCCTTCCCAAACTCCCACAATGGTTATAAATATAATTTAAAATCACAACATTTCATCCAAAATGGAACCTAAATAGCTGAATTTTCATTTCTCTGATCTGAAATTTAGTAAGACATTACTTTTTGAGTATGAAGACTTAGCTAGAGGGACATTATAGTCAATTTATCTTTCTGAATGAATGGTGGCAGGAAAGTTCAGGTACTACTTGCATCACATATAATTTACTAGCAGATATAGAAAGAAAATACCCCATCAATAAAAATTTCATAGGGATGGTAAGGTTACTGGGAGAATCTTGTACAAATCAAGTTAGAGAAAGACAGTATCCTTTTGTTTTGATAAAGCTCCCTATTTGCAAATGATGTTTAGATGATCACTTCCTGTGCTCTTAAATTTACTTTGCAAATTATTGGTATACATCAAAAACTATAATAAATATGGGAACATACCCATATTGTTCCCAAATCTGATTACTCTTAAAATTCTGACTGAATATTCTTCGTGCTGTTCATATAAGTAGCAGATTCTGAAATCCTGATTATTTTATGCTTTCATTCATATGGATGTTTGTGCTTGATGTGCAGAATTTCAAAATTGGGAGGTACCTCAGAGGTCATCTAGTCCCACATTTGTACCCAAACAGGTATCCTCTCTACAACATCTCTGATCAGTTCATGTAGCCTTTGAATGAAGAAATTTAGTGAGGGGGAGCCTATTTCCCTCTTGGATTTTCCATTTCATTTTTGGGTAACTGTAAAAAAGTTGTTTCTTACATCAGGCCAAAATCTTCCTGTTTTCTACTTGTACTTCTGTTCTTTGCTCCTACTTGGGCCCTTTGGGGTCTACCAGAATCTTTCTCCCATATGGCAGTCTTTAAATACCTAAGTGAGCTCTCATCTTTCCCAAGTCGTTGTCTCTAGGCTAAATATACCTAGGTCCTCCGAATGATGGGGTTATACCATGATCCTGAACTCTATTCTAGTTTACTGTTCTCTGGACACTCTCTTCTTTATCCCTGTATTCCTTGAAATGTCTCTCCTGATGTAATGTGACTAGGTAGGATGGTGACTACAACCAAGAAATTAAAGGAAGTTTGCTCCTTGGAAGGAAAGCTGTGGCAAATCTGCACAGCATACTAAAAAGCAGAGACATCTTCTTGCCAACAAAGGTCTGTATAGTCAAAGCTATAGTTTTTCCAGTAGTAACGTATGGCTGTGAGAGTTGGACTATAAGGAAACTGAATGCTGAAGAATTGATACTTTCAAATTGTGGTGCTGGAGAAGACATTTGAGAGTCCCTTGGAAACAAGGAGATCAAATCAGTCAACACTTAAAGAAATTGATTCAGGCTATTCACTGAAAAGTGAAATAATGAGGATGATGTTTAAATACTTTGGTCACATATTAAAAAGATAGGACTCATAGGAAAAGACCTGATGTTAGGAAAGATTGAAAGCAAAAAGAAAAGGGGATGGCAGAGATGAGATGGATGGATAATAACATGAAAACAATGAACATGAACTTGGACATATTTCAAAAGATAGTGGAAGAGAGGAGGGCTTGGCATACTGTGGTTCATGGGGTCACAATCAAACCACCGCAAAGCACTATTACCTTTCTTTTGTTGGATACTTTATTTTTCTTAATGCAGCCAAGGATGGTATTAGTTTTTTTTGAGAGGGGAAGGAGCTGCCAGATCATATTGTTAACTCATATTTAGCTTATATTCAGCTAACATTCACATTTTTTTTCATTTGATTTGATGTCTGGTAATGCCTCCTCATCCCCTTTTTGTAAAGTTGATTTCTTAAAACTAAGTGTATGACATTAGGTTTATCCATATTAAATTTTATCTTCCTAGATCCAATCAGTGTTCTTGCCCGTCAAAATCTTTTTGGATTGTAATAATATAACTCTATGTGCTATCTATCCCTCTCAGCTTTGCAACATCTGAAAATTTGATAAGTATGATATCTATGCTTTTATCTAAGTCTTTGATAAAAATGTGGATATTTTTGAGGTATTTATGTTTTGAAGAGCCCTAATATATATATTTAGGCAGCTAGGTGGCACAGTGGATAGAGCACTGGGCTTGGAATCAGAAAGACTCATTTTCATGAGTTAAAATCTGTCATCAGGCACTTAATAGCTGAGTGACCCCGGGCAAGTCACTTAACCCTGTTTGCCTCAGTTCCTCATCAGTAAAATGAGTTGGAGAAGGAAATGGCAAACCACTTCAATATCTTTGCCAAAAAAACTCCAAAATGGAGTCAGGAAGAGTCAGAAATAATTGAACAAGAACAACAACAAGTATACATGTTTGCTTGTGTGGGACAGTTGAATTACATATGGTATATTTGTGGCAATTGTAATTAATCACCTAATATATTTAAATAATATTTAAATTTAATCAAATTCAAGTCATATATTTAAATCATAGTATATGTTATAGTGGCCATCTTTATACCTATTTATTGGGACCAATGTTGATATATACTGTATTTGCACAGCTTGTAAGTCAGATTTTCATAGAGTCAAAAAGTATTTTTGTAACAGAAGAAGCTGTAAGTATAACACAAGCTATAAGTATAACAAAGCCAGTCTCACAACAACTCTGTGAAGAGGGTACTACAAGTATTATTGTCTCTATTTTACAGATAAAGTAAAGGAAGCTGCTTAGAGAAGTTATGATTTATCCTTGGTCACATAATAAGTGTCTGAGGTGACATTTGAAATCATGTTGTCTGAATCTAAGGCCAACACTGTCTCTCAACAAAAGTTAAGAGTACTTTGTTGGTTGATCTCAGAGCCTAAATATTGATAGGGACAATT